GTTATCCTTCTTCCCTCGCAGTTTCACGAACGTTTGCGCAAAGTTGCGTATTGTCTCACTCCGGTTCGGTTTGATCCCGTGCGCCTCTTCCCGTTCATTAAGTTCGATCGCCGAGCCGTCTTTGGTGCTGAGACCCAGCTCACGCTCCGAGAGAGACATAACATATAGGACCACAGGACGAGCACATCCACTCGGATGCCCTTTAGAGCGTGTGTTGATCCTCTGATAGGCTGCCTTGGGCCAGACTTGATGAGTCCGACAGATTCCACAACATTATAGGAAGTGGAAAGCAGTGAGAGATTTCGTAAGGTTCGAAGGGCTTGAGACACCGCAGTCTACAGAAGGACAAAAGATAAGGTGCCGGGTCTAGAAACGCCACCGGTATACGCGATGAGAGCTCCGCGCGACTAAGGGAGGCTGCCAGCCGCAGTGCACCTTGCTTGCACGAGCTTTCGCCCTGTCACCCCACCAATTGTTACCGTCCAGCTCAAAGCGTTCGACAAGAAGCACCAGTCATGAGGGCAATTCGGACTCCCTCCAAATCTTCTCAGCGAGCAACATCGTCACATGGCCATCAAATGTCCTTCTGTTTGGATGATTGGCCGAGACACACCACAATCATCCAGACTTGTTCTGGAGTACCAGGAGGACGCCTTGTGTCCAGCCGTGAGAGTTTCACGTGCATATAGTCTGCTTTCAAGTGCTTTGATGCATATATCTGGGATATGCGTTTGCTGTCAAGTTGCCAAGAGACCGGGATTTAAAGAGGAATCGCTATAAACGATCTATACCGTGCTGCCAGCCAGGATCCTTGTCTCGCGTCTGCAGCTGGCGATGGCAGGTCCCATATTTTTTCAGAATCATTTTGTCGCCTTCAACAAGGTTCACTGGTGAAGCTGAAGTGGTTCTGAGTCCTATGATAGCCTTGAATCCCTCACGGTGGACTACTCAGTGTGATTCTAGTTGTCCCTCGACACCACGGGCTCCGTCACATCGAGTCCGCTGATTGTCAGCTGTGGATGCATAGCGTGACTGTGGCTGCGTCGAGCTTGCGCATCGCAATCGGTAGCCTTCGCGTGTCCCCTACTTCACGAACTGCCTCTAGATTTTCTTTTTCTAGATCAACCAAGCCTGCCTTCTCGCTGCCGCAACTTTCAAGTCTCTCCATACTTACCGTAACGCCCTGTTCCTCCTTCCGACCAGGCACTGTACCATCTCAAATTCGATTACAATCGACGTCAACCACAGCGGCAACCGCAACTACAGCCACAACCACAACTACCATCAACTCCAAAGCTGAGCCCTCGAGCCCAGATTTCTCCCCGAACCACCAGCCCACCATGAACGGCGCCACTACAGCCGCTTCTCTGAAGCGCAAAGGACCACCCGAGGCTCTAGGTGGTCGCCATGCGAAGCACCAACGTGGCCTTGGAGGGAAGGAATCAGCCGGAGACAACACCCCAGATATCGATGACGAGCTCGAAATTGGAGGCGACTACGAGCTGGAGGATGCGCGAATCCCTGCTCTGCTCCCTACTGGACCTGATACAGCAGAGTGGCAGGCGACTATCGAGAATGTCGTGCGCAACGTTGTGTCTATTCGGTTCTGCCAGACAGCCTCGTTCGACACGGATCCGGCACTGACGAGCGAGGCTACAGGTTTCGTGGTAGATGCTGAGCGAGGGTAAGTGCTTCACCTTTCGTTTGCTGCTATGCTAGATCGCTGACATTCTTGATCCTTGCAGATACATCCTGACCAACAGACATGTCGTTGGATCAGGACCGTTCTGGGGCTACTGCATCTTCGACAACCACGAGGAGGTCGACGCATACCCTGTCTATCGCGACCCCGTCCACGACTTCGGTATTCTCAAGTTCGACCCCAAAGCTATCAAGTACATGGACGTTGCCGCGCTTCCCCTCCGTCCGGAACACGCGCGAGTCGGTGTCGAGATCCGAGTCGTCGGTAACGACGCTGGTGAGAAGCTCAGCATTCTGTCCGGCGTTATCAGCCGTCTGGACAGGAACGCGCCCGAATACGGCGATGGCTACAGCGACTTCAACACCTCCTACTTGCAAGCCAGTGCGGCTGCGAGCGGCGGTAGTTCCGGTAGTCCTGTTGTGAACATTGATGGATACGCCGTGGCTCTCCAGGCCGGCGGCCGATCTGACGGCGCATCCACAGACTACTTCTTGCCTCTAGATCGACCATTACGCGCCCTCAAGTGTCTGCAGGAGGGCAAGCCGATTACCAGAGGCGATATCCAGTGCCAGTTCTTACTCAAGCCGTTCGACGAGTGCCGAAGGTTGGGCCTTGGTGCTGAGTGGGAGGCTAAGATGCGAGCGGCTTTCCCCAAGGAGACGAACCTGTTGGTCGCCGAGATAGTGCTCCCCGAAGGACCGTCACACAACAAGATCGAGGAGGGCGATGTTTTGCTGAAGGTCAACGGAGAACTGATCTCACAGTTCATACGTCTTGACGACATCTTCGACTCGAGTGTAGGGAGGACCGTCAAGCTACTGCTGGTCCGCGGCGGCGACGAGGTCGAGGTCGAGATCGAGGTAGGTGACCTTCACAAGATCACACCCGACCGCTTCGTTACTGTTTCGGGCGCAAGTTTCCATAACCTCTCCTATCAACAAGCGCGGCTGTATGGAGTTGCCTGCAAAGGAGTGTATGTGTGCGAAGCAACAGGATCTTTCCGGTTTGAGAGCAGCGACAACGGGTGGATCATCCAGACAGTCGACCACAAGAAGACGCCTGATCTCGACACGTTCATCGAGGTTATGGCAGGTATTCCCGACAGGGCGCGTGTTGTGGTAACATACAAGCACTTGAGGGACCTCCATACTCTGAACACGACCATCATATATGTTGACCGCCATTGGGCGAAGAAGATGAAGCTTGCTATCAGAAATGACGAGACCGGCTTATGGGACTTCAAGGACCTGGCGGACCCTCTACCACCGGTGCCCCCGGTACGCAGATCGGCATCGTTTATTCAGCTCGAGCACACATCACACCCAGCCGTGGCAGAGCTTGTTCAGAGTTTTGTTCACGTTAACTGCACCATGCCTGTCAAGCTTGACGGGTTCCCAAAGAACAGGAAATGGGGAATGGGACTGGTCATTGACGCCGACAAGGGCCTCGTGATCATATCGAGGGCCATCGTGCCGTACGACCTGTGCGACATCACCGTCACAATTGCCGAGTCCATCGTGGTGGAGGGCAAGGTGATCTTTCTGCACCCCCTGCAAAACTACGCCATCATCCAATACGACCCCAGTCTCGTGGATGCGCCCGTGAAGAGCGCGAAGCTGAGCACCGAGCAGCTCACCCAGGGAGCGGCTACGTATTTCATGGGCTACAACAGAATTGGTCGCATTGTCCACACAGCCACGACTGTGACGGAGATATTCGCAGTTACCATCCCGGCCAACAGCGGATCTCCGCGGTATCGCGCCGTCAACGTCGACGCCATCACGATCGACACAAACCTGAGCGGACAGTGCGGCAGCGGTGTCTTGGTCGGCCAAGACGGCACCGTACAAGCACTCTGGCTAACCTACCTTGGTGAGCGCTCGCCCGCTACCCACCGCGATGAGGAGTACCACCTCGGCCTCGCGACGCCGACCCTCCTCCCCGTCATCAAGCAGGTTCAGCAAGGCATCGTGCCCAACCTGCGCATGCTCTCCGTCGAGTTCCGCGCCGTGCAGATGTCCCAGGCTAGGATAATGGGCGTCACCGAGGACTGGATCGCCAAGGTGTCCGTGGCCAACACGTCGCACCATCAGCTCTTCATGGTCACGAAACGGACCTTTGAGCGCAACGGCCAGGAAGGCGCCGACGCGCTGCTCGAGGGCGATATTCTGCTTACGCTTAACGGGAATCTGATCACGCGTATCTCCGAGCTGGACATCATGTACAGCCACGAGGTGCTCGAGGCCGTCATCGTGCGCGACTGCAAGGAGTTGACGCTATCGCTCACGACGGTGGCGGCCGATGACGTCGAGACCGACCGGGCCGTGTCGTTCTGCGGTGCTATTCTGCACCGTCCGCATCACGCGGTCAGACAGCAGATCAGCAAGCTGTACAGCGAGGTATACGTCTCTGCCAGGACGAGGGGCTCGCCGGCGTATCAGTATGGGCTCGCCCCGACGAACTTCATCACGCACGTCAACAACAAGCCAACCCCGGATCTGGAGAGCTTTTTGGCTGCCGTAGTGGATATTCCGGATAACACATGTATGTTTGCCCTACACTCCGTGATGTTCTATGTTTGATGTCATACTAACCAGGGTACAGACTTCCGGCTCAAGGCCGTTACGTTCGACAGTGTGCCGTGGGTGGTGACGATGAAGAAGAACGAGCACTACTTCCCGACCATGGAGTGGATCAAGGATACCAGCGACCCGTGCGGGTGGCGCAGGGTCACGTACGAGGGCGGCAAGCAGGTGCAGGGCGAGGGTACTGAGGGCGGCCTGCCTGTTGCCGAGGACGCGGAGCCGGATGTGGACATGGATGTCGCAGCCGTGGATGAGAACTAGGGCAGTTGTGTTTTGGAATGGGGACGGGTTGGAGGCAGCTGTCCCGTGTATTGAACTAGATGGACGGGTTAAATGGATATCCACCGGGTGTACACTATCACTTTTAAACCGTGTTTGTTAGAAATGTCAGGGTTGGACCGGAACTGCTGTGGTGGCATTTGGTCTTAACAATTCTGCAGCAGAAAGAACAAGTCTACTGCACGCCCATTAAAGGCTTCAACCGACGGAGGGGAGGATAAGGGTGTAAATGTTAGCGGTGCAAGCTGACAACGAGAATTCAAACATCTTAGTCGATATGATAGTGCTGATTGTGGCGTTATTATTGATCTCATCGAACTGACTGACAATTTGTTAGTATGCAGAAAATATATGCATGCATCATATTCCAGCATGGAGGGAGAGTTATGAAAGGGGAGGAAGATCATGTCAATCAGGGAGCAAAATGCAAAAAGTGATCATAGAGGGGCTTGAACCCTCGACCTTGGCATTAACTTGATGGATTCGGAAAGAATCTATTAGTACCACGCTCTGACCAACTGAGCTATACGATCAGTTACATGACTGCTCGCCGATATTTCTCCGTCTGCTAGAGCTGTTTCTATAGTTTACGGCAGCCTCGATATTCATGCAACTCCGTGCCTGGCCACCTCATGACAAGTAACCTATGGGCACAATGTATACTGAAGAAGGACACGGCACCTATAAAAGCGCGCAATCCTTATTTTTTTGCAGCTAATGAGAGGGAGAGAAACCACATCACGTTGTGCAGAGAGGAGCTTATGCCCAGTCTGTCCTCTAAATGACAGAGAAAAAGCGGCGAAAGGCGTGAAGCATGCCTTGAACTCATGAATCCTGATAACCGGCCAAACGAGAAGCTTTGTGTATACTGCGCGGTTGGAAAGTCCTTTTGCTTGAGTTTGTCTGTTGTGACGCTGTATACATCAAGCCACAAGCATGGTTGCTTCGCGGAATGCATACTATGTACGCAAAGCTTGACCCATTGCTCCGTTAAAATCAATCTGTGTAACTGGACCGTCATGTAGTTAGTAGGGTATAAGTGGACAATCCTCGAGCCCAAATCAGCTACACTTAGGATATGTTCCAACCTTGATGATGGCCCTCGAGCCTGAATTAGTTATACTTAGACATGTCCCAACCTCGAGGATAATCCTCGAGCCTAGATCAGATACACTTAGATGTGTTTCTAAACTAGAGAGGATGGATGACCTTTCAGCTGGATTCTGAGAGTCTAACCTTTATGTGTCTCGGCAACCTTCTACTATAAGTACAGAGGATGATCCTCCATTTTCATTAGGCTACTCGAAAGCGTTTCACATTATCTAGCTCGTCCTACACATATGTAGAGTCCGCCGTGTAACTCGGTCGGCGATGCTGTCAAGGAGCATTAAATCGACGTTGCATGGGTGTCGTCAGCCAGGTACAAGCAAAGCTGTCACTGGTCGTCTGCCAGAGATTTATTCACTTCGTCGTTATCGTGAGCCCCGGAACATAACGTCTGTTACCGTGATAGATTGAACAGTTGCAACTGCTACCGCCATAAACAATGTAAGGCTGAGTTTTTGTGTGGTCACTGAGCAATGTGGTTGAGCCGTATGCGTTTGTCCTGTAAAAGTGGAAGAAGGGTGAATGCCTGAAGTACAGTACCTCTAGCCAAAATAAACACAAAATACCATAGCGCGCGGTGGGCACTCTTTTCATGGATTTTAGGATCCTAGATGGATGAAAGACTGTTGACAACCTGTTGGCATTCCCTTTGAGGGCCCGTCGTAAGAGGTACCTTACCTTACCTAATGTAAGAATATGGACCAGAGGAGACAATACTCCGGCCGTCGTACAGGTACAATGGGGGGCCTGAAACCCGTATTTAAACAGGTATTCGCAGATACAATCTGTGCTCGCATTGCTCGGTAGAGATCGACCGAGACAGTCGACGAACAGCCCTGTAAAGTTGGTTGAATACTTTCATGGACCGAATATGACTGTGATCCCGCTGGCGCATCAAGACTCTTGTGCTTGTTGCTGAAATACGGCGCCATAGCAGACCGATATTTGACGCTTGCCACTGGTTCTCTTATCGGCAATAGAGACCATGGCATTTCTGCGCCGCCGGGTCGAAGTAGAATGATGACCTCCTACTCCAGTACAACAACCCAGCAAGGGTTTCGAGGCTCACGATCGAAGGAGCAACTGCACTCCCTTGCCTACGGCGCGCCGGATGCATGATGAGCTCTCACGCCATCCAATCAGTCATCCATTCCTGAGTAACGCTCCTGCAAGCCCAGAGGAAAACTGGATCTCGTCCATCGCACCTTGCGTGGGGCCGTTGTCGTTCGACCTTGAGCTCCGTTGCAGAGCCGATGGAGACAGTGTGAGATGTCTTCTTTCTCTGTGTTCCCGCCTTGCTTGACATTTGCTGTAGCGTATCCGTCACCTGAGGTAAGGTAGATAGCGCAAGCCTCCATCTCGTCTACGTTACCTTATCTATCCCACCATCCCCTCCTCTCGCTCGCATCATCTCTCTTGACTCTCCCCGCCTCCCAGGTCCTCTCGTCGTTTTACTCGCTTCTATACCATCTATAGCTGAGCTTGTCGACACGCAGCTCTTAATCCGGTAGTCGTCGTTTTCTCTATTCCATACTCTCTGGAAAAATCCACCTGTAGACCGCAGCTGAAGCCCAATCTTGCTTCTCTTGCCGGCGTATCCACTTAGTTGCGTGTTGAAGCTCGAGCTAAGACAATCGGTAAGCTCCCCTGTCCTCAGTGAGGCGAGACGACTCTGGTGAGCGGTCGAGAGCTACCCCACCCCCCGCATCTGGCCGCCGTCCAGCATTCCTGATGTGACCAGCCCTGCCAGCGAAGCTCCCCTTCACATATTGGCTTATGCTTGTGGACATTTGTTATTGACTCTCTTCCCTCCTTTCCCCTTATTCTGCTCATTCAGCTTCACTCTCGTCTTCTAACTGTTCTCGTTCTATGCACTTGCGAATCCGCTGACATTCGCCCCCGATTGCCAGAGAACATGGCTACCGCAGAACGATTTACCCTCAGGGAGCGTCGCCCCTCAATGGGTGCTCCCCTCGTCGACATTCAGGGCTCCGTCAGCCCGGCAGGAATCTCTCGTCCCAAGCACAAGAGAACCTTTACCGGGTTCGGTGCCACCGAAATCAAGAGCGTTGAAGGTTCGTTACAAGCTTCTTATCGACTCAATTGCGTTGTTACATAGCTATCTCGACGTCTCTTGCGGGGAGCAGACGGGTGGGGTTACGAGAGTCCCCCTGATGGAGGGGTTGCTGTCGAGAGATCACCTTCTGCTTCACCAGAGTGCCCACACCAAATTGGAGATTACGGAGGCTGATTGTTTCCAATGCAGCATCCATTCCTGAACCGCAGCGGGTGGCATGGACAAAGCACCAAGTCAACGGCTTCAAGGACACCGACGAGTTCGAAAAAGAGGTGGTTCGCCATGTCGAGACTACCCTTGCTCGCAGCATGTTCAACTGCGACGAGTCCGCCGCCTACTCAGCAACCAGCTTGGCCTTCCGCGATCGCCTGATTCTCGAGTGGAACCGCACTCAGCAACGTCAGACCTTCGCCGACAGCAAGCGGGTCTACTATCTGAGCTTGGAGTTCCTCATGGGAAGAGCGCTTGACAATGCCATGCTCAACATCGGTCTCAAGGATGTTGCCAAATGTGGGTTGGCTCTCCATCAAGAGGAGATATATGAGTGCATTAGCTTACCTTTTTCCAATTCTTAGCTGGACTTTCGGAGCTCGGTTTCCGAATCGAGGACATTATTGAGCAGGAGCACGACGCTGCCCTAGGCAATGGCGGTCTGGGCCGGCTCGCCGCCTGCTTCTTGGACAGCCTTGCCTCGCTGAATTACCCTGCCTGGGGCTACGGTTTGCGTTACCGCTACGGTATCTTCAAGCAGGAGATCATCGACGGATACCAAGTTGAGGTTCCCGACTACTGGCTCGACTTTAATCCCTGGGAGCAAGTGGCCCCTTTCCTTGTTGTTTTTGTTGTATTGTTGCGTGTCATGTATGGCTGTCTGACACGGTGCTAATCCGCAACAGATTCCCACGCTTTGACGTTACGGTCGATGTAAGTGACACTGTTCAGACCCTCAACTTTCGAAACTCTTATCTAACACATGCAATAGATCCAATTCTATGGGTACGTTCACAAGTCGCAAGATGACTCCGGCAAGACAATCTCGCACTGGGAGGGAGGCGAGACGGTGAGGGCCGTCGCTTACGATGTGCCCATTCCTGGGTATGCAACGAGCACGACCAACAACTTGCGCCTGTGGTCGAGTAAGGCTGCCAGCGGCGAGTTCGACTTCCAAAAGTTCAACAATGGCGAGTACGAGAGCTCCGTGGCCGACCAGCAGCGCGCCGAGACGATCAGCGCTGTCCTCTACCCCAACGACAACCTCGAGAGAGGAAAGGAACTGCGTCTCAAGCAGCAATACTTCTGGGTTGCTGCCTCGCTGTACGATATTGTCCGGCGCTTCAAAAAGTCGCGGCGCGCATGGAGCGAGTTCCCCGAACAGGTTGCCATCCAGCTCAACGACACACATCCGACGCTTGCCATTGTTGAGCTACAGCGAATCCTCGTCGACCTCGAGGGTCTTGACTGGGAGGACGCCTGGAGGATCGTCGTCGCCACGTTCGGATACACCAACCATACCGTGCTTCCCGAGGCGCTGGAGAAGTGGTCTGTCGGCCTGTTCCAGCACCTCCTCCCGCGTCACCTCCAGATTATCTACGACATCAACCTGTTCTTCCTCCAGAGCGTGGAGCGCAAGTTCCCCAACGACCGGGATCTCCTCCGCCGCGTCTCTATTATCGAAGAGTCTCAGCCAAAGATGGTCCGCATGGCGTACCTCGCAATTGTTGGATCCCACAAGGTTAACGGTGTGGCCGAGCTGCACTCAGACCTCATCAAGACTACCATCTTCAAGGATTTCGTCAACATATTCGGCGTGGACAAGTTCACCAATGTGACCAACGGCATCACACCGCGCCGGTGGCTTTACCAGGCAAACCCCCGCTTGTCGGCATTGATCGAATCCAAGGTCGGAAGCAAGGAATTCCTCAAAGACTTGACGCTGCTCAACAAGATCGAGCTGAGCCTCAACGACAAGGCCTTCCGCAAGGAGTGGGCTGACATCAAGCTCGGAAACAAGGTCCGCTTGGCAAACTACATCAAGGCCACCACTGGAATCTCAGTCGACCCCACGGCCCTATTCGATGTCCAGGTCAAGCGTATCCACGAGTACAAGCGCCAGCAGCTCAACATCTTTGGTGTTATCCACCGCTATCTCGCTCTCAAGGCCCAGACGCCTGAGGAGAGGAAGAAGGCGCAGCCCCGTGTTTCGATCTTCGGTGGCAAGGCCGCCCCTGGATACTGGATGGCGAAGCAGATTATCCATCTTGTAAACCAGGTGGGATCTGTTGTCAACAATGACAAGGAAATTGGCGACCTGCTCAAGGTCGTGTTCTTGGAGGACTACAATGTCAGCAA